ACTCCAGTCTCCCACAGTATGAAACCTCAGTGCGTTTTTCCTCCTAATTAGCTGTGCTCATCATTTTTGGTTAACGGTGCTAAAAACTCCCACCTCAACAGGTCTGTGTCATTAGTAGGCTTCAAAAGTGCTTATTTTATAGATAAGTGAGAAAAAGCCGAGCATATCTATCCACATGCCTGTGGTGAGCAGGGGTAGGTATCTATTTCTGAAGAAACCTCACGTGGGAAAGAAGAATCCTAAATCCATGGAGGGCTGCTGACAAAGCGGGGGGAGAGCTTCAGCCCTGCAGATAGAGGCAGAAAAAACAGCTTTCCTGCTCTGTTCCCAAAAGCCAGCAGCAAACCCTATAACTAGAGTTAAATGTTGCCTTTTTTTTTTTTTTTTTTTTTTTAACTTCAAGCATACCAGGAATTGCTTGTATACCAGGGCTGGAGTTCGGGTGTTTGATTTTGGTCCTGTCCCACCCCTCAGCTTGGAGGCAGCAGCTGCCTCTGTTGTTAATTTTTAATAGATTCTGGAAAAATCAGAGCAATTTCAGGGAATAGGCTGATTTTCAGCTTTCACTTATAGAATCACAGAATGGTTTGGTTTGGCAGGGATCTGAAAGATCACCTGGTTCCAACCCCCTGCACTTAGGCTGGGGAAAGATCCCAGGTACCTCTGAGCTGGATCACTGGCTCCAGATGCAGAGTGAAAGTCACCTATGGAGAGCTGCAGCAACTTTGCACAAAGCATTTCTCACAGCAAGGCTGCAGGCAGGCTCAGCCCCAAGCACAGGCTGTGACTGTGCTCTGCAGGTGCTCTGGCCATGCTGTGGTGCAGAGGTGCCCATCCCAGAGCCAGCCCTGAATCCTTGACCCCGGCATTTCTCAGTCACCTTGTTTAGCTGGAAAATAGATCTAAGACAACATCAAAGTCCAGACTGCTTTTTTTAACCACAGAAAGGGATTTACCTTCATGGCAGAAAGCAAGAGTCCCAACATCTGGATTGAATCACTCAGTCCTGCTGCAGCCAGCAGATGCTTCAGCATCTGTGGAGTCCATGGGAAACACTGCAGCACTGCAAGTTGCAAAGCCTCTGTTAACCTTGAACATGATCTGAAGCTCTGACCCATTTCAAGTTGTTAATGGGCCATGCAATTGTAACAAGAACACTTCACCAGGAAAGCCACACTTTCCCTGCAGCCAGGAAGGAGGAGAGAGGTGGACAGGGCAGGTTTGGGTCTGGGCAGCCTGACCAACAACAAGTTTTGCTCACAGAGATGATTTGTTGGAAGACAGACCAATCTGCAGGTGCTCCTAGCTTCCTTCACAAGCTGCACCAAGGAAGAGCAAGGATACAAGAGACCCAGACTACTTCTGTCAAGCAGCAATCCTGATGTTTGATATTATTGGAGAGCTAATTCAGGTACCACCATTATAGACAGAACAACAATTCACTGTTTTCAACTTTCCATCCAAGCTGAAGCATATGAACCAATATCATAACTCCTGTCCTCCTCTGCTCTGGCAAAGCCCTGCAGGCAGGCAGACTCTCTGGGCTGATTTGCATTTGGTGCTTTTCAAGGATCTGCAGTAAATCGGGCAGTTGGCTACTGTCCAAAGAACCACCCCACACAGTCACACAAGGCAGAGCTACACAACAGCAAGAGGCTTCTCCAGCTGCTCAGTGCAGCCCTGGGATGCTCCTGGCCATCCCTCCACCACCTCCAGGCACCCAGTTGTGTTGGATGGTTTCAACAGATGCACTGAATTCCACAGGCATCTGCTAAGATCACAGGAACCAAAGGATGTTGTAGGTTCATGTCTAAACTGACCCAGCCAAAGCCCAGCCTTGCACAAAGCACTGCCAGCCTGAACCTGGAGAGGCCAAGAAATGGCAGCTCGTCACCTCCCTCCAAGACTGTTCTTGCAGACCATCAGCCCTGCCCTGCTCCAGAGGCTGGACTGCTTTTTGTATCAATTCCCAGTGGGAAGCAGTATGGGATGTAGCACTCCTCCTCTTTGTTCACACAGCTCTGAGAGGTCCAGTGGCCCTAAGAACACCCAGCAGTGCCATTTCACATTTGGGAAGGGGGATGCACACACAGACCAGCTGTTTGGTGTTTGGAGCCAGCAGCTCTCAGTGAGCCACTGCCCCCACTGGCCCACAGGTGCCAGCCAGCAGCACAGCACCCTGGAGTGCCCTGTCACACCCTTGGTGAGGGATGCCAGGTATTGGCTGCCTTGCAGCTTCCCCGTGCTGGGTCAGGCTCTGGGCAGGCAGCTGCCCATGCCAACCCTGCCCACACTGCAGGTATGTTTGTACCTTGTGGTTTTCTGAGTTTGGCTAAAGCCTGTGCCAGGTGTGGGCTCATCTTTAAGGCAAGGGCAGGCTCAGGACAGCAAACCAAGGGAGGCATGGAGGTAGCTGCTGTCTCCCTCCCAGCCCAGGCCAAGCAGCTGATTTCCTCTCCCCTCCTCATCCCCACCATCCTCCTGGGGCTGACCTCTCCCAGCCCCTGGCTGCACAGGAGGGCATTCTCCTCCTCCCTGAAAACAGCTGTTACATCTCCTAGAAATACAGGATTAACACTTTCCTCACCCTCTGCCCCCAGCCAGGCTGCATCCACCAGAGCCACGCTCCTGGAGAAGCTGGACCATAGGGATGCAGAACAAAAGCCCCAAGGTCACAGCCCCAGACAAACACAGCACTGCAGGGACTAGTGACCACTCACTTTGCTAGCCCAGGGGATGCCTCATGGGAAAGCACAGCATCCCTTGCTCCCCTCTAGCAGCAGGTGGCTGCCCATCCCTGCTCCAGCCAAACCCCAGTCCCACGTGCAACAGTCAAAATGCAAACCTGCAGCAGATGGGAAACGCCACAACTTTCCAGCCCCTGCTGCTACCACAGGGTCAGCAGCTTTGCTCTGCAGCAGCTCTACAGCTGCTCTGCTATTTTCCCACTGAGCTGCACAGTTAGTTTTCCTTCAATCCCTGCCACAATTAAGTTTTATTTAGCCAGTGATGTCCGAACAGCATGTGGGGCTGGAGCATCGCACGCAGAGCTCAACTTAGGGTTGTTCCTGGAGAGAGTGGGCAGCTGGAAGAGCTGAAACTCATCACCTGGGAGATAGAGCAGCACTGCAGCCACCTTAACTTGCCCTAGATAAGCATCACTGAACCTGCTGCAGGATTAAGACAGCGGCCAAGATGTGTATACAAGGAAATGATGCCCAAAGATTTTCAGGCTGAAACCTGCACTGCTCCATCAGGAGGGGACTTTGAGCCATTTCTCAGTTGATCTGCAAGGTCCAGCACAACACACAGCATGGCAGAAGTTCTGTCCCTGACCTCACACACCTTCAATGAGGCCCAGCATTGCCAGCATCATGCTTTTGCTGCTCTCTCTGCCAGGCTTTGCTTCCCATTGGCAAGAGGAGGAAGGTCAGGCTGCCTTTCTGCCCGAGCTGATCCTTCCAGGCTGCTCCCACAGGAGACACGAGCAGCTACTCAATATCTAGTTGGCTGGAATTAATCCATAAAAGAATCAGGCTAATTACTATGCAAATGCTCAAGTGAGGGATGCCATCCCCAGCAAAACAGCCCTCACATCTGCCCCTTGGCAGGCACTTGCCAGAGCAGCAGCACGGAAACGCCAATCCCGCACCGCGGGCTGCGCCTCGAACCTGTAAAACCACAAAGTATTTACAGCCAAGAGCAAACACATCAGAGCTGCAGAGGTGCCACCTCAATGCACTGGGGCAAGAACACCTTGTTCCAGTCACTGACTCACTAATTATATAGGCAATGCCAGGGAGCCAGGGCTGCCAGAGCTGGTGTGCCACAGGGCACCTGGGAGCGCATGGCTGTCAGACATCCTCCCCAGGCAGCCCTACCCTGCTGCAGCTTTGACCTTCACTCAGTTGAATCATTCATTCATCCACTGCCTTGCTCCTCTGATCTTCCTCCTCCAGAGAGGATTCCCTGCACTTCCTACTGCTGCCACAGAACCCTTCAAGCTGGAAGGGGGACCCAGGTCTTGCCTTAATTTTCTAGGAAACAAGCAAACTCCTTTCTCCAGCTTCAGCACCTGCAACCCCGCACAGACATCCCCACCAGGATGCAGGCTCCTGTCCTTGGGAGCACTGCCAAGGTCATACCCAGAAGTTTCCCTCCCCTCTGCATCCACGAGGAGCCAGCAGCACCTTCCAGGCACACCTGGAGCAAAAACCACCCCAGCTCCAGCACTTCCTCCTCATCTCTCCACTACCATTGCCTCACAGCAGTGCACTGCTGACCCTGGCTCTCATCCTGCAGTTCCACTGCCAGGAGGAAGGAGTGAGAAACCATGTATATACCAAGATATCCTAAAGAGCTTCAGCCAGCAAGACAGAGCTGTGCAAAACCTGGGAGCATAGCACATTCTCTAAGGAGCTCAGGACCACAGAGAGCTTTGGACCAGGCAGCCCAAAGAGGAGGCAGGCAGCAGCTGGGCAGCATTTCCCAAGGATACCCACACAGTGGAGGACCTTGTCGCCAGCAGCTCCCTGGATGGAGCTCTGGATGAAGCAGTGATGCTCAGCACTAGGTAGCCAGCCCTGTTGAAGTCTCTAGAGATACTATGAGAACCTTTCCAAGAACAAGTACAACTGCAGAGGGGAGGAAGGGAAGGGGAGAAGAGGAGAGGGAAGCCCTTGGACCAGCCGACAGGGTCCAAAGCCAGCTCTGTCCCATCTAATCTCAGGGCTTCCAGAGGAAGCAGCTCTCAGCATCATGCTGCAACTAGTGGTCAACACTCGAGGGGCCATTGCAACTCCCTGCTTCGCGGGGCAGATACAGCCTGGCCGGTTCTGCTTGGACGTGGAAGAGGATGAGGGATGCGCTGGCAGCGGTGGCTGGTCCCCAGCGGGACCCCACAGACAGCAGCGTCCTGCTGCCTGCGGGACACCCCACTCCGCTCCCCGCCGAGCCCAGGCGGTGCCGTCGGGGCGTCGAGGCCGTGTCCCCGCACTCACCTGTGACAAGGACGGCTCTGCCCGCCACCGGCAGCAGCCCGCGGGGCGCCGCCCGCCACAGCAGCAGCCCGGCGGCGGCGGCGGCCAGGGCCAGCCCCAGGGGCAGCGGCAGCCAGGCGCGGCACAGGCTCTGCAGCGCGGCCAGCAGCGCCAGCGGCAGCACCAGCCCCCGGCCCAGCGGCGGCCCCAGCCCCCGGCCCGGCCCCGGCGCCCGCCGCGCCGCCCGCAGCGCCAGGCTGCCGGCCAGAGCCGCCCACAGCGCGCCGTGCGCCCAGCGCTCCAGCCCCGGCTCCATCCCGGTCCCGATCCCGGGCCCGGCACGGCCCCGCCGCTGCCGCTCGCCCGCCCCGCCGCGCCCGTTTATAGCCGCCCGGCGGGGGAGCGGGGCGGGGCGGGACCGGCCGCCGCCAATGGGAGACGGGCGGGACGGGAGCGCCGGGCACCGGGAGCGCCGGGCACCGGCAGCCGCGGGCACCGGCACCGGCAGCGGCGGCCGGGGAGGGGGGAAGGCGGAGCACTTTGGTACCCTCGGCTCGGCTCGGCTCGGCTCGGCTCGGCTCGGCTCGGCTCGGCTCGGCTCGGCGCGGCTCGGCGCGGCGCGGCGCGGTACTGCGAGGCACGGCTTGGGACATCGTGCTGCCTGGGTAGGCGCGGCTCGGCTCGGCACGGTTTGGCTTGGCTCAGTGCTGCTCAGGATATTCTGCTGCCTAGGTAGGTGTGTTCAGTGTTGCTTAGTCTGGCATGGCTCAGCTCAGCTCAGCTCAGCTAGGGTCCATGATGCCACTCAAGTAGATTCAGTTCAGCACAGCTTGGGGCATTTTGCCAGCTCAGTAGACATGGCTCATCTCGGTCAGCACAGCTCAGCTCAGCTCAGTCCTGCTCAGGACATTTTGCCACCTAAGTAGGCACAATTCAGCTTGGTCCAGCTTGGCACAGCTCAGCTCAGAACAGCTCAGGACACCATGCCACCTCAATTTGCACAGCTCAGCTCAGCATAGACCAGGAGATGATGATGTGCCAGATAGTCACAGTTTGGCTTGACTTGGCTTGGCTTGGCCCAGCTGAGCACATGACATTGCGCCACCTCAGTAGGCACAATTCAGCTCAGCTTGGCATAGCTCAGTCCTGCTTGGGATGTGATGCCACCCATTTAAGGCACAATTCAGCTTGGCGCAGCTTGGCTTGGCCCAGCTCAGCTCAGCTGAGCCCTGCCCTGTACATTGTGGCACCTCAGTAGGCATGGTTCAGCTTGGCACAGCTCGGTTCGACTCAGAACATTCTGCCACCTAGATAGGTGCAATTCATCTCAGCTCAGGACAGTCAGGACACTCAGGTAGACTCAGCTCAGTTCAGCCTGGCTTAGCACAGCTTGGGATGTCATACCATGTACAGGACAGCTCAGCTCATCTTGGCACAACTCAGGACAAGGCACCACCTAGGCAGGCACAGCTCAGCTTGACACAGCTTAGCTTGGCTTGGCTCAGCACGTCTTGAGACATCATGCTGCCTAAATAGGCACAGCTTAACTCAGCAGAGCTTGACATGGCTCAGCATGACTCAGCTCAGCACGGCTTAGGACATCATGGTACCTAGGTAGGCATAGTTCAGCTTGATTTGGCACAGATTGGCTCAGTGCAGCTCAGCTCAACTCATCTCATCTCATCTCATCTCATCTCATCTCATCTCATCTCATCTCAGTCCAGCATTGTTCAACTCGGTTGGTTATGCAGCACTTACAGCACAGCTCAGCTCAGCTTGGTTTGGCACAGCTCAGCACATCTTGCCACCTAGGTAAGCACAGTTCAGCTCAGCTTGGTTCAACTTAGCTCAGCTCGGCTTGGTTTGGCCTGGCACAGCTTGGCTCAGGCAGAGCTTCCTGGCAGGAAGTGCCATGGCATCCAGGGAGGCTTGGCAGGAGGGGGGCTGCCCGAGCCAGAACCAGTGCCACCAGCACCCACGCCCCGTGGGACAGGGGAGCACAGGGCATGGCCACCATCAGGGCCAGCCCTCGATCGGGTCCCCCTGCACAGGGCAGTGCCCTCAGGCCCTGCTGGGGAGCACCAGAGGAGCAGTGGCTGCCCAGCTCCTGCTGCCTTGGCCAGCCATGCGCAGTTCCTCAGTGCCCAGAGCAGGCAGGTGAGGTGTGAATCTCTCCCAGCTGCTCCCTGTGACTTGGGGACAATGACTCCAGGGGGATCCCAAACCATTTCTCACACCCAAAGCAGGCAGTGCTCTGCCACTCACGTACCTGGTGTGATTCTGGGGCTGCAGCAGGGTGAGCCATGCTGGGAGCTCAGGTCCTGGCTTGCCCCAGCAAAGCCTGGGGAAGCCCTGCCATGCAGTGCTGGGTGCCAGGTCCGTGCCACCTCCAGCAGCTGCTGGCAGGAGCTCCCTGCACCACCTGGCTGGGGGACAAAGTCCTCTCCTTCCCAGGTTAATTACACAGGGTAATTGCTGCCGCTGGGCTCGCTTTATTAAGCACCTGCTTTAATATTTCACCAAGTCTCCGTACGCGGTGATCCTTCGTGCGTCCCTGCCGTGGGCCTGACTCTCGGCACTCTCTGGGCTCTCGCGTGCCATCACCAACACCTCTCCCTCCCTGGTGGAGCCAGGCCCTGCCAGCTGTGCTGGCCACCCCACCAGACCCCCGAGCCCTGTGGTGGTGGCAGCACGTGCCAGGGATGCCTGTGCCATCCTTATTGGAAACAGCCTCCCTGGTACTGGCAGAAAACCACATTTCATCAGCGGGGATGGCAACAGCTGCAGAAGTACAGCGTGGAACAGGCTGGGGTGGTTTGGCTGGGGTGTGGTGGTGTCACCCAGCTGAGTTTGAAGTGCTCAAGGGAATGTTGGGAAGCCGGCAAGGTAGAGGAGGAGGAGGGATGCTCCCAACAGCATGGCCGCGGGCTCTCCCACAGGAATCTGCTTGCTTGCAGCCCTGGGCTACTGAACCTGGTGAAAACAATAAGAGGTGACCACAAAGTAGAGCCTCAGGGAACTTGGGCTCTGAAGAGGACCTGGTTAAACCTCACCACACATCACTTCACCAGGGCTTGAAAAATGCTGTGGGAGAAAGGCTATTTTCCATGAGAGGCCATCCCTCACTGTGCTGGCCAAGCTGGAAGTGCTGGGGCATGCAAAGGAGTGAAATCAGGGATATGGTGCTTTGCAGGGACAGACAGAATGTAGAGTTTGTACTCATGTCTGTATTTCACAGAGGGTAGACGTGGCCATTCCCAAATTGCAACATGAATTTCCACAACCCCTTGAGAGCTGAATTGGATGTCCATCCGTCCGTCCATCCGTCCGTCCATCCATCCATCCATCCATCCATCCATCCATCCATCCATCCCTTCCAGATCTCCTCACACATGGTCTCAGGATGCCCATCTTGTGGGACACCTCAGATGGGTTTGTAGATAACTGTGCTGCTCTTTGTCACACCAGTCAGGCCTTTCTGTGGTTTTTCTCACCTCAGGCCCCATGTGGTGGGGCTGAACCAGCAGCACCATTTGCTGTCTCTGGCTGCTCCTCAGCTTTCCCCCAGAAGGCTGGTGTGCAGTCAGGGGGACTGGTGGCTCTTCCCTTGAAGACAGTGCCTGGCCTTGTTCATCTGCCCATTGCCCAACCCCGAGGGTGCCTCCCAGCCGCGCCGTGCTGTTGGGAAATGCCGTGATAGCCCCATTACCTTTTGACCTACTTGAGCTCTTCCGTACCCGTTCTGCTAATTACAGCTCACCTTTCACAGGGGAAGCAGGGCTGGTTCAACCACAGCCACCTCCCACACCTTTCCTGGGGCTGCTCAAGCAGGTCCCTGGGAGGGAGGACACACAAACCACATCTTCCTAGTGCTCCCCTTGCCCTAGGCTGTTCCTCCAGCTCCTGGAGCCTCCCATGACTAACAGGTTTTGAGATAATTGTTCCACTCCCTAATCTGATCTGCAGAAGATTCATGACATTGTTTTCAAAGTGCCATAAGCCATTTCCAGGGTCTCTAAGCCCATGAGGGTTGTGATTCATCCGCATGCTGCTGCCACAGGTACTTAATCTTCTCCAAAACAGCAAGTCCTTCTTCCAGGGCTATTATCTCCTCAGGAAACGCCACCCAGGCAAGCGTCTAACAGACCACTTTTGCCTGTTCAGTGCTGATGGATATTTGTGCCAGCTCTTGCTTCCTCACAAATGCCATGAGGTACAGTCCTTGCCTGGGAGCAGCTGTCTCAGGAGAGGGGACCATGGGACTGAAGCCTCCTTCAATGTCACTTGAGGGCTGGGTACCCACCATGGACTGTCAAGCCTACAGGAAAGGGGATGCTGCACTAAAGCACAGGGGGGCTCCTTGTCTCCCACACAATGTCCTCAAAGTGCCCTTGAATGGACAGGGGTTCATCCTTCATGGTGAGGACGTGAGACACTGGAGCCCATTGGCATCTGGGGCTGGAGACAGTTCAGGGGTGACAAAGGCTGTTGCACCACCTGGAATTTAACTCTCATTTTGCCCCAAAGCATCTTGCAAAGAACAGTGATTAATTACTCCTGGCACCAAATATTTGTGTCCCACTACTGAACTTTGTGCAGTTGTCTTGGTTGTGGTTGAACTTTGCTGCTCTAGTGGGAACTCTTATTGTGTTATACTCACATTAACTCGCTATTGTGGCATTCTTCTGTGGGGAGCACAGATCCTCAGGTGGCTGTGATTCAGCTAAGCCAGGTTCACCTCCAGGAAAGCCTTTCCTGCACCCAGCATCCCTGTGATCCTTTCCCAAACCTAAGGCAGGGGAAACCGAGTCTAAAAAATCCCAGCCTGGAGGCACTTGTCATGGCACAGCCAACCTCAGCCACAGCCTCCATGGAGCCACCTTAGCTCTTTGTTCTGGGATCTTCTTCCTCTTCTTCCCCAGCATTTTCCATTCCTTGCTTCCAGCTTAATTGACAAAGGACTTTTTTTGATCTTTCCTTATATTTTGAAGCTGTAAATCACAGGTGACCACTGGTGCTCATTGTCTGCTGCATTTGGTGCCATGTTGATGGAATCAGCCTGAGACCCAGGCTTTGATCCTCCATCTGTAGGGTGTTTCCACACACCTGAGCTGGATGGTGGGCACAGGTCAAAGCTTTCCCCAGCAGCTGGGCAGGACCTCCTTGCTCCTGGGGTGCTGTGGCTGGAGCAGCTCCTTTGCAGAGTACCAGGGCTGCTCCCCAGGAGAGCCTTGCTGGCAGCACGGAGCATCCAGCCAAGCACTGCCCCTGGGTCTGGCTCTTTCCAGACCCCCTTGTCTTTGGAACATTCCTGCC